TTTTGTTTTGTTACCTTTTCCTTTTAGCCATCCTATTTGTTAAAAGGAAAAGGTAACAAAACAAAAAACAGCTAGATTCCAAGACAAATGTAGAAAACTAAAAACAGGAACATGTCTGCATTGGTCCCTGCCAGGTGTCCAACAGATTCTTAAAGACAAATATGAGCAAAGAGCATCACCGTTCGTTGATGGGCGCCAACAAGACCATCGCCACGTTTGTCAGTTTTATAAAAGAAAATAAACTAAAATGATCAAAGCCCAAAAATAAACCTTCCCATCGTTTATTTTTCAGTCATAAAACGTCACTCGTTTTTAATCTAAAACTTTAGGAGCCTGTTTTGACAATTTTAGAAATTTATTGTTTTTTGTTTTTTTTGGCCTCAAATAGTTGGAAAAATCAAACCCAACTGGGCTGATTTTAAGAAGTGGTCCGTGTTGGTTTTAGACACTTTTCACGAGCTACAAATTTAATCTGTCCAAAACACCCAATTATCTATTTACAAGTAAATAATGTTAAACTTAAAGTCCGATTGTAAACATTCTCAGTTTTTCCGTTCAGTAACTCTGCAGCCGTAACGACGAATTAGTTGTTACGTATATGATGACATCATCTGCGTACGACCGACTCTGAACATCTGAACGCCGGTGAATCGTTCATATTTGAGCAAAAAGGCAACCGTTCCTAAAACAAAACCTTGTGGAACGCCCTTTTAGTTTTTTTCAGTTTTGAATTTATTTTAACAGATTTGACATTTTTCTTTTAATATCTTAACTGAACCAACTAATGTCTTGTTTACATGAGTTTAAAAAAAAAATAAATGTAAAAACATCCCATCCCTTCATAAAAGTCTATTTGACCTGCTTGGTCTTAAACGTTTAGGAGAATCTGATACTTTTGGAACATTTACAACATTTACATTTTTCCTGGGCTTGTCTCCATATGTTTTTATTTTTTAGCATAGTTAACTTGTTGGTTTGTAAATATTTAAGGGTTTCTGCAGAGCCAACGCTGCAACAGGTCGAACATTCTGCTTGAGTTTACCAGCAACCGTTGGTGCATTAGCACGTAATTAAAGAAAAATAAGAGGGAGATCTGGGCGAGTAATCGCTGAAATAACAATATTGATCCGTTCTGTTTCAAACATCTGCAGATTTAAAGAAGGCTCCTCTACATTTAATAATACAAATTACTTTGTTAAACCTATTAAACCAAGTATTTGAGCCTCGTTAAGCCTTCAGAGTGATTACACTAGGCCATAAAATTGAATTGGGAGTGGGAAGCTTTCTGCTGGGTGGGGCGAATTAGTTTCTGGGTCAAAGTGTCCAGATCCTGCAGCTGCTTTTCTTTAATTCCTGCACATCCTCTGCAGCTCACAGCGGCCACCCCGTCATTAACGCTGTAACTGTTCTGTCGGAAAGAATCCGTGTCCATCAGCGCCGGGTGTTCGGCTTTGTGAAAATTAAAAAGCGTGACAATAGTCAGAATAATTAGCTGTGTGGGCGTGAGCTGAAAGAACGCGCTGTGTTCTGTGACCATGTCTCACATGGGGAAGGTTCTGCCGGTCCTCTCACTCTTCTGGTGTTTTTTTTTCCTGCTGGCTTCATTCGTTAAGGAGCAGCTTCTCCACAGCTGAACTCTTTCCTCTCATCTGTCAGCACCGCCTCGTTAGGCTCCTGCTGTTTACACCTGGAAAAATGAAACGCACTCCTGATGGTTTTAAACCCAGAACAAGTCGCATGCTTTTATTTTGTAGTTCAACACCCTGTTTTTCCTGCAACTTGAATGGAAGGATCAGATGTCTCTTTCCACAGCCAAGTCTTCCAGCTCTTCTGGAAGGACTCCAAAGTGTTCCCAGCTCCGCCGAGAGACATGGTCTCCAGTGTACCCTGGGTCTTTCTGGGGTCTCCTCCCACTTGGACCTCTCCTTAGAGAGGCGTCCAGGGGGCACCCTTACCAGACTCTTCCCCCAATGCTGCAAAGACGTGTCAAACAGGAGAGCTCGGCAACAGAGCCTTGAGGAACTCTGGGTGGTTCTTGCCCCTTCGTAGCCGTGCTGCCGCAGATCTCTTTAACTACATCGCCGTCCTCAACCCCAGTTATGGACAGACTAAACCCCATGTCCTCCAACTCGGCTTGATGGGTTGACGTCTGAGAAGTATCCCTTCCACCACCCAACATTGTGAACACCACCCCACAGTGATGTGGACCCAAAACTCTACTTGGTGATGGCAACATGCTGCAGCCGGAAACATCCAAGGCCTCCCTGAACTCCGGTACCCGAGCTTCAAGCCTCAGCAGCAGCCCGAGCTGCAGCCCGCCTGGCCCGCCGATGTATCCGTTGTGTTTCAACAGAATATTTAGCAGCGTTTTAGTCAAACCCACAAACATCATGTGAAGAATCGAGGTTTAATCTGTGAACGGGTTACATTTGTAAGGGAAATGGGATTCTTGGGAATATTTGTTCATGTTTATGCCTTTGTGTATGTGCGGGGGAAAATATGGCAAATTCATGTTTTGTAAAAAATATTTTTGGTAGTTTTGATTTAAAAAAAAAGAAGGTATTTTTATACTAGTTACCGCCAATATAAGGTTAGAGTAAACTAAAATGAATTATATTAAAGATTTATTACCGGTAATAGTTTTTTTTATGGCTTAATAAAGTAAGTAGATTTAAAAATATCTCTTACAGGGAAAAACAAATGATTTGCCATAACTTTTAGATGTGAGAGTGTTTTTTTTTTTAAAAGTTCCAGAAGCACTCTTTGGACGAAGCATCAAAATGTGCAGCGTTCATAGTGTTTCTCTTTAAGGGCTGTTCGTTCTTAAATAAATTCTATCTGGCACACGATAATAAACTTTAGAACTTGTAACATATTTAATGTTTTCTTGCTGCATGTGACCCAAAAGGTCCGGTCCGTCGACGCACTGCTCTTCAGTGAAGATGAAAGATTTAGAATCGGACCGCAGAGATTTTATTTCCCATCAGAGCGTCTGAGGTTTCAAACCGGAGAGACGGATGATCAATCCCAGTTTAGCCTGGATTAGAGATGGAGCTGTGGTCGCTCGAGGCCTCCGCTTCTTCCGCCTGCTTCTCACATTTTATTCATCAAGTCACCATTTTTATGTTTTTAGACTTTTTTATTTTTTTTTATTTTTTGGAATCTACCTCTGCAGATTTGTGCTGCTTTAGCCATTTATTTAAACATCTATTGATTATTTGTGGCAAGTTTTATGCTTTACGACCGTTTTCCCAAATAGAAATAAGTTGGCGTCTCAGATCTCTCCTTGTATAAGACATTCTTTTCAACAAAGAATAATCCGTCCAGAGGACATGACTTAACCTTGTTGGATTATTCTTTGGATTATTGAGCATGCATCAGGACATCTATAAGACTTTCTTTTTGAAATCTTCAGCTCGCTGGCTCTATTCTTATACCTTTTTTTTGATTTTGCAGCTTTTAGCTAGCCTTTTGCTCCTTTTTTGCCGTCGTTCTGCTCGTTTCAGCACATCTTTTGCTCCTTTTAACTACAGTTTTGCAGCTTTAGCTGGTTTCTTGCTTCTTTTAGCTACTGTGCTAGTTTTAGTTAGCCTCTTGCTGCTTTTAGCATTATCAGCTCAGCTTTAGTAAATTTCTACGTTTAAGCTAAAAGTACGCTATGTAGGTAATATGCAAAATATTGCAAATGTGTGAAAGTAGATATCAAACTAATAATTTAAATGGTCTAGAAGAAAAACATTTTGTAAATGGTTAAATATTTTGAAATGTATAAAATGAAACAAAGTGATCGCATCAGTCTTTGAACGAGCTGAAAGTTTTGACGAGTAATGGAAGGGGCACAAATGTAGAAACGGTTTAAGTGCAAAATAAACTGGACATTTTTAAAGTCTCACATGACAAACCATTTTGTTTTTAATGTATCATGTATTTTAGTTTTTATTGGATTAGCAAAGCGTTTTAAAGATTGATTGCATTTTTAGCTTTATGTAAGAGCCAAATGTCAAAGATAATCTGCATCTCATGAGGACAAGTTGATTGAAACAGTGAATGCTGAATTAACAGTCACATAATCAGGATTGTTTTTGTAGCTTGAATTAGCTAGTTAGCCTAAATTAGCTAACGAGCTACTTGGCACGCGCCAGCCGTTGATAGCGCTTTGCAGGATAAGGTTGCGTCACTTCCGGGAAGAGGACAGTCGGTGAGAGCAGCAGCCGCTCACTCTGTCTCCGTAGAAACGTCGGTGGAGTTGACTCCGCTCGGTTTCAGCACCGAACCGAGTCGTTCCTGTGCTGGATGGATCTATTTTTTCATTTTATTTTAATTTTTATAAAGCTGGACGTCGTCTGAAAGTAAAAACCGGGGCAGGATAAGACTCGTCGAGAACCGGAGCGCGGGAACAAGTTTTTATTTTTTTCTCCTCTTAGTTGGGTTTGTCGTGTCGAGTTGGCTTCGTAAAAGTGGAGGATATCTGGTTTTATTATTTTTTATTGGATATTTTCAACCCGGAGCGGTTGACGCCGAAGAGAAGGCAGCTCCTGTAAACAAGACGTTAAGTACGCGCGTGCCAAATGGCTAATAAGCTAGGTTGACGTGGCGCACTAAGCCGCAGCACGCGCAACTTGTTGATTTAACTTTATCAACCGCACCATTGTCCGAGCTTGTATTTCGCCATGGATATAAATGGGGATCTCCGGCGCTCGTGATGCCACGCGCACCGGTTGTCATGACGCCCGCTCTCTAACCCGCGCGTCGGCGTGGCGCCGTGCCCGGGTCCCGCCGCCTCCAGGATGAGCAGCACCGACCTGGAGCGCATGTCGCTCAGCTCCTCCGCCAACTCGGTGGCGTCCAGCGCGCGGACGCTGTCGGCCAACGTGAGGAAGCTCCACCACGCGCTCAACCTCCTGCTCAGCGACCCGGAGCGCGAGCAGTTCATCCACTGCCTGAACGTGTACCACGCCAAGCGCAACGTGTACGACCTGGTCCAGACCCTCAACGTGATCCTGAACGCGCCCAGCAAGCGGCAGCTGCTGCCCATGCTGCGGCTCGTCATCCCCCGCTCCGACCAGCTGCTCTTCGAGCAGTACACCTCCGAGGGCCTCTACCTGAAGTCGGGTTTAGTTGCGAACAACGGCAACGCCGAGCAGCCGCCGCCCGCGGCCGGCAGCCCGACGCCCGCCGGGCACCTCCACCCGAGCATCCCGCCGGACTTCCAGGTGGCGCTGCGCGGCTCTCCGGACAGCTTCAGCACCAGCAGCGACGGGACAGCTCCGCTGGTGCCGCTGCTCGGCAGCAACTTCATCCACGAGCCGCCCGGCGAGCTGCGCCAGGTCACCATGAAGCGCCACAAGAGCCACGAGGGCCTGGGCTTCAGCATCCGCGGCGGCTCGGAGCACGGGGTCGGGATCTACGTGTCCCTGGTGGAGCCGGGCAGCCTGGCCGAGCGGCAGGGGCTCCGGGTCGGGGACCAGATCGTGAAAGTCAACGACAAAGTCTTCGATAAGGTCACCCACGCGGAGGCGGTGAAGGTAAGCTGCAGGTCCGAGTCCTGGGACTTGGCTCAGTGGGGTGAAAGTAAACACACTGGCGGGCGATCATGTTTTGCTCATGTTGGCAAAGTATCTCATGACTGGCTGGATGAGTTTTAATGGAACTTGAAGAAAACAGGAGTCTTGAATCAGGATGGCTGACCTTTAAAAAGCACAAGTGGCTTTCACTGTGGTAGTAGCTGAGACTGATCCTCAACACACATCCTGAGGGTCGAATGTTGTGCTGACTTTTTGTTTGGATCTTTGCCATCAACTGTCTGGAGTCTGTTAGCAAAATATTACATAAAGTACTGGGTGGATTTTAGTGAAACTTTGAGGAAACGATTGGATGAACCTCTGACTGTTCAGCTTTTGGAGCAGGTCCATTTCAAGATGGCTGCCACAGCCAGCTGACCTGAGGAAACACAACAATGGCTTCAGTGCACATGTTTTCAGCTGACAGTTCACAAGTGACATCTTCTATAACCGTTATATTTTTAAGGTTTCACCAAAAAAGCTACAACTCATTCTCAACACAAAACGGTCAAACGCTGATCACTGTTGGCTACGTGACAATGTTTTGGTCCATTTGATTTGTAATTATTTTAAAGCTGGAAAATATTGGCAATATTGGAGATTATCTTTTTTTTCCCCTTTTGTTATCAATTGAAGGGGAACACGAAGGTTTTTGTCACAGAAAAAAGTTTAAAACTTAATTTAGTCATTTATTTCTTCAGGTTTTCAGTCCAAGTTGTGGAAACGCTCAGGACCGACTCCAGTAGAAAAACACCGGAGAACCCAAAGCTCTTGAAACCGTCTCCTCCGTGGGAAAATTGAAACAATTTCATTTAAGAGTGAACTTATGTACACAGGGTCCCAGTTACATCCAACAATAAAATGTAAGAGAAAATCTGATAACTAAGATATGAACTAAGAAAAACATTAATTGCATAAAAACATTACGTCGAACAGCGTCGAAAGACGAGTGTTCATGAGAACTCGAGCAGTTCTGAGGAGGGTGACTAAGTGTCAGACAAAACGTACAAAACCTGAACGTTGAGCTGCCTCCCACGTGAGAGGACCTCGTTCTTCCATCCAGCTGTGGAGACTTCTTTAGTTGTGCAGCTGTTTATGAAGCCGGCTGGTTTCTGCTCCTTTATAACATCGGGAAGCGTTTTCCAGCCGCACGGTCCACCAGAGTGTGAACTTTGGACTTCTAAGAAGCTCTTCTTGTGTAACTGGACGCCCTGAGAGCAGCTGGTAACCATAGAGGCGTGTGCAGAGGATTCAGGTTCTCTTTGAACAACTGAAAACGAAAGGCCTCTTTATTCCTCAACGCTCCTGTTTGTGTAGACAACAAACCCGAGATGATGAATACTCAGGATCACATTGTTTGTGCTATTTCTAGATGCATTCATCAGATCAGAAACTTGTTTTGCTTTGGTTTCATAGCTTGTTGGACCAGTTTGAAATGAATTAACTTTGTTCTCTGCATAAAATGAAAACGAGGCCAGGCTTCCACTGGAGGAATGCTTATCACCCACCAGCTTTCATCCCGAGCGTTCAACTAAACGATCTTGTTGAGAAAGGACAGAGCTGCAGACGTTTAGTTCATGTGTTGTGAATGACTCTCAGCTACTACCACAGCATGTTATGGCACAATATTTATTAAATATTCTATTATATCTATTTTTGTTTATTTTAAGATCTCCTGGCTGTGGCAGCTATCTTGAATCAAAAATACTAGTTTGTTGCATTTTCATTTGAATTTGTCATTTTTTATGCACTCATTGTTACAAAGTTATGTTTGCATAAAGTAGCCACCAAACTATACTAAAAAATACTTTGTTCCTTTGTAGCTGAAGGGGTGAAACGACTCGTAGATTGTAGCTGAAATGAGTTTATTTTGTTTCTGTTTTTGTTCTTCAAGTCATTCCACACTTGGATATATTTACTAACCTGCAGGTATTTCAGCACTGCAGCTTCTAATGCTTAGTGATTAAAATGTTGTTTAGACCACATGAAGATCCCTGATGGATATCTAAATGCTTTTTGTACTTTATGGAGCTTTTAAGGAACATTTATTTGGTTCAGTTGTTTCTCATGACTTTAATTTTTCCTCTTTGTGTTTAAAACACATTTAAAGCTTTTTTTATTGTCCAGGTTGTTTTGCTGTCCTGTGTTGAGCTGAAGCAGCCTTCAAGTTGCTCTGTCTGAGCTGCAAACAAATTATTTCCCAACAATGCACTGAGTTAAGCCATGTTCTTTAAGCTTGTTTTATGCACAGTTTGCTGTTTTCTGCTGATGAGGTTGCTGCTGATCTTTTTTTACTGCTCGTTTTCAGGCCGACTTGGAATGAGACAAAGTAAAAAAAAAAAAAAAAAAAAAAGTTGGTTGCAAATTTGGAAATGCATTTTTGCCTCAGGTGAAATTAAAGTATTTGAGCATCTTGTTCCTGGTTGAAGGATGGAGCTGGATCAGTGGATCCGGGACCTTGTCCACAGTAATGAGGGCGTTGTTTGGTTAGTCATGGTGAAAACAGAGTTGATTCAAAAGGCAAAGCTCTCTCTGCTGGTGTTCATTGGAAATGACACTTTACAGCGGCTGGGCTCAGCGTTAGAGATGGGGTGAGGGGTTCCATCATCCTGCGGGGGGGGCTCGGAGTGGAGCTGCTGCTCCTCTGCGTTAAAAGGAGTCAATTGAGGTGGTTTGTGCATCTGATTAGGTTGCCTCCTGGACACCTCCCTCGTTGATAACGGACCCTGGGGAAGAGCCAGAACTCACCGAGTGGATTATAGATCCTGCCCGCCCTGGGAACGCCTCATGGTCTCTCAGGAGGAGCTGAAGAGTGTCGCAGGGGAGAGGGAGGTGTGGGTTTCTGCCCTGGCCCTGCTGCCTCCACACAAGACGGAGATCGAGTTTCAGATTTAATTTTTATTATTTATTAAATTGTATGGATCAGAATTTGACTGATAGCCAACATTATACTGCACCATTTCAAGAACTAGGCCTGGCCCAAAAAAAGATCTTGGCACATCATAATAATGAAATTATGAAATAAAATGATGCAACAATAATAAAATAGAATAAAATCAAGATTAAAAATTAAAATAAAACCGTAAAATAATGTGTTAAACATAAACAGGCTAAAAATGTTTGTATTTATCAAATGATAACTAATATAAACTCTTTAAACTATGATGATTATCTTTGCATAAATTTGCATTATTACAAGATACAATCTACATAATTTATAAATAAACCACCTAAATTAACTACTACTACCTGAACTACTTTGAGGAAATTAAAAGTAACTAAGACATTAAATGTCTTGCAAAGTGATCCAAACATTTTCAAGCAAGTGCAAGTGTATCAGGAATTTTCTTACATCACATGTTGGTATACCATAGAAATGTGCGTCAGAAGTCAGACAGAAAGAAAATGATACAAGTTGTTTTATTCTAAAGATCAGGTTTCCATAATTAAGCAGATTTAATTTGAAATAATTTTAACGGCACGGCCCTAAGAGCTTATAACTCTAACTTACTCTCTTATAAAACTTGTCACCAAGAAGAACAGAAGTACCAGAAGACACATTTCACATCCGCTGACAAGCTGTTATACAGCAATCTATAGCAATGGCCTGGTCGAGCAATGACCTTGATTTGTGACCTTGGAGCTGGGGGGGATGTCGTATATGCAGCACTCGGTCTTGTGATGATGCATACGTGTATGAAGTTTAAATTATCTTGAGCGGATCAGAAGTTTGGGATATTAAAAGAGAAAGTTGATGGATGGATGATGGATGGATGATGGATGGATGATGGATATGATAATACTTGTGCCTTTGATGGACGTATAAACAAACAAATGTTAAAACAAACCATGAAACCTGAGTGTCACTTCATACCCCCAATATTTTTAGTCGGGGTTCGTTCAGTTTCTTCGGCACCATCATTTTTCAATACGTTAGTTTTGTTCTTGCTGAGCAGCCTGTTTCTAAAAACAAATCCCTCTTTTATAAGTTAAGAAGCTCGTGCACTGAAAGTCAAGTCCGTTTGAGAACATGCAAAGCAGGTTACGCAATTTCTGATTCTCCTCAGCGAGTGTAGTGAGGCGGGTCGGTGTGTTAACGGCACCAGGCAGGACAGACCTCTGTGACAGATCCTGAGGCTGCTCCGAGCTATGAATCGCTTCATGGTCTAACAAGATGTTTGTCTTCCCGACCCGCTACATCTGATCAACACTCGGCATTAGCTGCTTCAAGCCTCTGCATGTCAATGTCCCTGGCAGCCGCCTACACTCCATGCCAGCCCAGTAAATCCAGACTGATATTCATCTATATTTAAACTCCTCTCCCTTTATGGTCCTTTAGCAGATTAGTGATGAAACCAGGTGCTCCAAAAAAAAAAACGGAAAAAAAAAGACTCATCGTTTTATCTCAAAGCTTCGTCAGCCTGAGTTAATGTCATGTATCTTCTGCGGCTTTCTGTCTTCGTGCCCTTTATGTTCCTCCCTGACACCCCACCCAGTCTTAAACCCAATCAAATTAGGGACTAAGAGAGACCGAAGGTCTGTGGCTGATAACAAGACGAGGTCGCCTCTTAGCTGCTGAGGCCCGAGCCGAATTATTTATGTCCCTATCCTGTCACATCTCCTCACCGTACAGCAGCTAAATGCTGACGTAGCAGCGGACCCCGACAGCCTGGGAACAGAATACGAGGCAGGTGCACAGGAAGGAGATGGAAACTGCGTCAGGGGAGGGGAAATTCAGCTGTAAGCTCTCGACAGTTCATCCAGGAGAAACAACAATCTCATCAGGCAACATCTGTTTGCTACAGTGGAGTGGATTAAGCTGGAGTGGGAGAAAACGGGGTGAATGATTAATTTTCCGCAGCTAAACCACAATGCTGAGACTTTAGAGCCGATCTGGTTTTTCTTTTTTTTTTTTCAGCACTCAGTCAGCAGTTTAAAAACTGAGTGAAACAATGTTTGTGAAA